GCTGTGTAGTCTGGTCGATGTTAACCAACGTTTCAGAGGTCATACTGCCTCCGTCATCAGGGCGATGATCGCCCTGATGACGGAGGCAGTATGACCTCTGAAACGTTGGTTAACATCGACCAGACTACACAGCACAATAACCCAGAAGACAGAAATCTTCAATTCATTTGAAAGCTGTGTTGTGATAACTGAAGTCTTATACTTGCAAATAACTACATCTTCCAGGTTATGATAAATTTGCTTTGTTTCAAGCTAAAGAGGTTAAACTTCATGTAAAATGCACCATCGCTCTGCAAATATATATAGCTTATACAGATTTTATACCAGAGACAAGAATGTGAAAGTGTTAAACTGATTTGAGGGCTTGTATTTTTGTGAGATTACTTGCTACTTTTCATGATCTAAATGTCTTGTGCATACACACTGTATGATCACAATACTTGTTCACAGTTTTGCCAATAGAAGCACTTAATTTTGTTCCTGTGGTCTGTTGGCTGTGGTAGATTCTGCTAATGTACATTCCCAGTCGGGGTTTAGTTTAAGCTGGAGCAACCCAAAACATCCAAGTTTCCCTTTTTATGATCAAAACATTTTCTTTATTAACAATTAATAATACCTTAGCCAATTTATTATCTGTTATAGAAAGGTGTGTGGTAAACTTTTGCTGCAGCCTATGTTTTATCATGTTTATTATCCATAAGACAAAATACATCCACTGGGAATAGGTGAAATTTCACAAGGCTTCAGATTCTCATGATGGCAAGAATGAAGATGACTTGTCTTCTGAGACGTTGTGCTGTGTAGTCTGGAAGAAGTATGCTGACATTTCAGAGATGCTCTGATGATGAAGGCAGCAAATACCTCTGAAACACTGGTAAACTTCTACCAGATTACACGGTGCTACAACCTAGAAGACAGCCATCTTCAAGTGGAAGTCCATTTAACCAACATCACTCAAATTCTTATGGTGTGCAAGTAAAATAGTACAATGAGAATAATCCCAAGCTGAGCGGGTATCCCGATGTCTGTTACAGAAAACACAAGCCTGCAAACCTTTACATATTCAGAATCATGAGTCAGACGACAAAGCAAAAGGGACCAAATTCTCACATAAAATGGAAATGAAAAGGCACCACAGTACTTATCCACATATTAGACTTTTTATGGCTATCATTTGAAGGGCAGTCATATCTGGGGTCACAGGTTTAATATTATTTTCAACATGATATTTTCATTTCACTTTCTCAGATTGCTGTTCACTATGGAAAAAAAGAGTGAATGTTAGAAACCACCTTTAAATTAGAGTCCGCAAAGACAATAAACACGAATACTGTGCAGACACAAATTTTGTCAGTTTTCTGTTACCCAACTGAATTTAATTTACTCTGAAGTAACATAACATTGCAAAGTTTTCAGATTGTTTCAATATCCATAAAAAATGCAACTTTTTGTTACATAAATATTTCTCAAAATTAAGGCCTGCCTGCAATGTACATGAATCTTTGTGATACACCGTCAATTATGCACTATTCCCTTTCGTACAGACCTGCCAATTGTCTGTGTAACGACACACAGAATTCGCCCAGCCTTCCCCCAGGAATGAAGGACAAGTTTGGCTGGTGCAGGTGACACTGTAGCCATCTGCTTAAATTGGCTGGTCTTAATAAACTTCTCACATTTTATAACACTTTCCATTTAAGACTATTCATAACAAGTAGAAGAACTGAGATTCTTACAGAATTGTAAGTTCGTTCAACACTATTGAGCTTCAGACTGGAAGGAACTGAAGTATGTACACGGTCATGGCAGAAACAAAGCATGATCATCAGATAACTTCTATTATCTGAATACAAAAAGAAAGAAAAAATATGAAGACTAGAAGCCAATATTTAAAATACTAGATGTCATCACTATGTCATAGCAATAAATAATGTATTAAGATTTTGGTTTCTGGAGCTTCCATTCTGAATCTCATGTTTTTATATGAACGGGCAAGATAAGCTGAATCATTAACCTTCTTAGTTATACAAGAATTTCCAGGTTGGTTCATAAAAAATTAATAATGTAAGAGTGACCACAATGAAGAGGTATTAAGTTTTGTATGGTAGTACCATCTCTTAACACATTGTATATATACGAGGGGCAGTCAAAAAGTTCCCGGAATTGTGGTATAGCACTGTAATGGTAGGACATATGGCAACGCTTACCTAATCACCTTCAAAGTAGGACCCTTGCGCACACACACACACACACTTGCTCCATCGATCCTGCCATTTTTGGAAGCACCGGCGGAAGGCTTCGTTCGGAATCTTACGGAGGTCGGCCGTCGCATTTGACACATCGCTGGTTGTGCAGAAATTCCTCGCTGAGAAAAGCATTCCTGTCATCACCCAACCACCGTACTCTCCGGATCTCGCTCTGAGTGACTTCTGGCTGTTCCCTACTCTGAAAATGGGCCTCAAGGGGACGCGTTTTGCAACCATGCGACGGCCGAACTCCGATAGATTCCGAACGAAGCCTTCCGCCGGTGCTTGCAACAATGGCAGGATCGATGGAGCAATGTGTGTGCGCGCAAGGGTCCTACTTTGAAGGTGATTAGGTAAGCGTTGCCATATGTCCTACCATTATAGTGCTATACCACAATTCCGGGAACTTTTTGACTGCCCTACGTATATATCTTACTATGACTACATGGAATAAAACACAAGCCAGAAATGACTACAACACATTTTCAGGTATCATAACAGCACTAACCTAAAAAAACAAGAAAATGAAATTCAGTCCCAGAACACACTACTGTGATCCTAACTTGACTCATATTAACACTAATATAAAGCAAGGAATAAATATGGAAGCTCAAGAAACAATTTCCCTCCTGTCTACTGCAAGATGATAATGACTTTTTGCAATATTATATATGTGAAGATTCCATAAGAATCATTTTACATGAGCAAGACGTTTTGTATGTGTGAATACTGGTTGTTCAGCATGCTGCATTAATATTTAAGGTACAACTCAAAAAGTTATGCTGAAAAAAAAAAGTTGCAAATAATTATCCCACATTAATAGTAATGTAGAACACACTGGAACATTCATTAGGGAAAAGCTAGACCACACAAAATCAGTCTTGCCAATGCTTGTGCATCAAAACACCATCCATAAAAGTTAAAAGGCTACAGTACGATAGTTCAGTTAAACTTAAGGTGGATCTTAGTGTTTTATTTATTGTGCATCATTTACTTACATGTACTAACACTGTCCTTTTGATCTGTTGACTGATGATGGCTCTACAGGCAGAGAGCAACATGGAGTGCCTTGGGGGGCTTAGTACTGTAGAACTATGATCTGACCCCACTGTTAATGCCTACACCACCACCTATACAGATGTGACAACTTGCTTCACTGTCCATATAGAACATTTTATGAAGATTTCCTTTCATTCAGCTACTGTTCTTTCAACTACAAGTTTATGACAGTATAAATGAAGTAGAAGTATAAATTATACCATAGTATTAAGTACAAACCAGCTGACACCTGCTAAGGCCTTAAAAATTGTCAGCACTAGCTAATTCTTGCCCTTTCAGTCTTGAAGCGTAACGATGCTTTGATGACTTTTCTACGATCAACGAACATTTTTCCTGCACAATTTCTTGCCTTTGAAGAAATAATGTTTGTCATTTTTTGTAATCATTACATTACATTTCTGCCAGTATATTAATTGTAAGATTAATAATTCTCTATGGATAAGCTTTTACTAATGTTATAAGATGTAACACAAGAAGTTTATGATAATAAACATAAGGTAATAAATTCTGTTAACTTAATTTCAGTGGAGGAAATGTGCCATCTGCAAAGAATTGCCTGAAGTACCCAGATTCCTATTTTGGATTCCTTCACTACTACCTGAGAGTTTTACAGGCAACTTAAAAAGCCAGTCTGAAAAGCACTCAACCATACTCATTACTTCATTTAACAGAATTACTTGCTGTTGAGACAACTTCAGCAACCATTAACCCAGTGATATAATTTATCTTCAGTTCAAAATATCTATTTTCTAACTTAACACTGCCAAAAAAATGTTTTTGGAACATCCCACAAATTTCAGGCAATTTGAACGTGTAAACCTACTCCTCCACTACTGCTGATGTATGCTACTGATACAGAGAAACACGTTCAAAATACTACGGATTCAAATGTGTATGGTTCTACCTGTATGTTAGATAATTAGTCGAAGACAACACAAGTAATCTCAAATATGAGTACACAATGATATTTCAAATATCTGGAGTTATACAGGACAGCTAAAATAAATATTAGAGTACAAAGGTTAGAAATGACAATCTTGACATACTCTTAGGATAACCACAGGGAGTTTGGAATGTCTTGAGAGGGTGTGACAGGGAGAACAAATTATTTCTACCTATGAAAGGGAACTAACTGGCTGTTCCTAGGCACAGTGATCGCAGATAAATTGTTATAATGACGAATCATTTTATTCCAGATAATCTTGTTTACATCTGTCTTCTGGGTTGTTACGCCATGTAGTATGGTAGATGTTTACCAACTTTTCAGATATCATACTGCCTCCGTCATCAGGGCGATGAATGAGCCAACTGGGTGGAAAGGGCTGATGATGAAGACAGTATGACCTCTGAAACGTTGGTGAACATCTACCATACTACCTGGCGTAACAACCCAGAACACAGAAATCTTCATACTCACCGCTGTGAAAACCTCAGATCTTACATTGTTTACATTTGTTCCAGATTCACCAGTACATATTTTTACCTAAATGGCTGTCTACTGGGTTGTAGTGCCATGTAGTCTGGTAGAAGTTTACCAACATTTCAAAGGCTGATGATGGAGGCAGCAAGGGCATCTACAACCCACAAAACAGCCACCTTTGTACTCACTGCTGTGAAAACCTCAAAACATACTATACTTCTCTTAACCTTTTTTCAACTTTCTTCTGGCTTTGAGTAGGTGAAAAGTTTGTTCTGTAATTCCTGAAAGCAATAAAAATTCTGTATTCTTATATTAAAAACAAACTACATACAAATGTGCAATGTACGGCCAACATGGAAAAGTTTGCTTATATGGAAGTGGGGAGAATAGTTATATAATGTAAAAATAATGTACCAGTACCTAGTTGTATCTTAAATGATGGTTGTCTACAGACACCATGTACTTCCTCAGGTATTAAACTTCCTTACTGCAAATCTTAGCAGATGTGTTTACCACTACGGCTATAATTTCCCCTTGGCACGTCAATCCTCATCTGAATCATTTTTCTTAAAACAAAAAAGCTATACAACAAATGGTGTATATTGTTTTATGCAGCTAATACAGTATAAAATATGATCTGAAGTTTTTATAAGTAGTTTTATGTTATAAGCCTGAACCTAATCCTTTAATGACAGTATAGATACTATTTAAATTTTCCTAATACATTTGTCAACCAGATAAAACCTCCATAACATTCTATGTTTGAACCATGGGAAATTAAATGCAATATGGGATTACAGGAATTTAAATACCCAAACTAAGGTACTACCAGTTAAATTTTAACTCTGGGGTTAACATAAGTTGTCATGCACAGCAGATAAATGTTAAAAACATTATGCTAAAGAATCAGCATGGTAGAACAAGCATCTCTGTTTCTCTGATTACTAAAACCAAACAAACATTTCCATGCAGTCATTAGCACTCCTTAGCTAGGTGGTCCTGGGTTCAAATCTTGATCCAGTGACAGGCTATCCAGGTTTTCCTCAATTTCTGTAGAATGCCCCTGGGACAGTACCCTAACACAAACTACACCACTTTTTTCCCCCAGTTCATCAGTCACTCCATTATTCAACACCTCTATACCAAATATACAGTATACAAGTAAAGTTATTGCAATCACGAACTAACATTTAGTTACATAATAGGTTATCTGTAATCTGGATATGTAAAGAAAGACAGTTTTATTTTCTTCATGAAAAAAAAAACTTCTATGCAATTAAAATAATTAGATTAAACATGGTTCAAGAAATGTTGTGTGTGACAGAATATGATTTTAATTTCAATCACAAACACCACAACAGGATGCATAAGAGTACGATATTTCTATCCAAACTGCCTGTTGATTCTATTTTCTTACACTTGTTAAAACAGCAAAATGCAAATATCAAAATACCTACTTGTGCCCATGAGCGTGTGTATTATATATGAACTGAGTTCTTACCTTGTTACCGAGCTGCTGGATTCTTGAGCTAAGCTGCTGGGCAATTAAAGTGTCTGGTTGCTCTGCAATAAATGTGGCAACATGGTGAAGAGCTACCCTGTACAGGACTGGACACCACACATCCCGTACCTGACCTACAGAAGCACACAATATTACAAATATGAGGTGTGACTGATAAGTTACCAGAATGACCCTGTAAAAGTTGTATTTAATTACTTACACACACTAACAACAATAATAATATTAATTCTTTGGCCGAAAACTCCTGGACAGCGAGTGTGTCATGATGCAAGACCCAACTATGAGGTCAAAGTTCAAGCCATCTCCAATGGACAGCCTCACATAACCTTGTCAATAACAATGCTGGTTTACTATTTGACTTTGTTCAACAAACACAAAGTGAACAATGCCCATGTGATAATAATAAGAAATACACAAACCAATGAGCACTGTCTTCACATCTTCTGCTCCTTCTCAGTTTTCATTTTCTTTATTATGATTGGGCAGAATGAGGACAGACAAGATCTACTAAATGGAATTGGAAAGAGACACAACCACTTTGCAGCAAAACATGTGTACCTACCCTTTACTTTTATTGCCAATCTATGTATTTTTCTGCAATATACATGTAAAAATATGAATAAATATCTTTAAGTTTAAATATTTACACATAGTTAATAAATTTTGTATCAAAGGATGGGAAATATTATATTTTAATTTATTCCAAATAAGGACTATATTTAAAATAAATTACATAATAAAGATGGAACATTATGAACGCCAAATAGAACATTTTTCGATTGGGGTCGATTTATAAGAAGTTGTGGCCAATCAATGCCATAACCTACCTTCCCCCTACGATGGGGATGGCATGCCGCCATGACTCTTCAACAATATTTAGTGCGCCGCGAGCGTAGAAAGGTTGCACAACACTGTGTTAGTGCAATGCACAGCAAACTTAATCATGCCATGACATAAAGACAATAATAGTTAAAGTTTCACCTGTTCCTAGACCACGAAGGTAACACATAAGAAGTGATGGATCCGTTTCACAAGGCTCCAGATATGCCTGGAAGGGAACACCAAGCTGGAAAAAGAGCATAGCAAACCACAGTGTTTGCACAATTTAAAATTGTTCTTTATACATAGCATAGCAAAGAACGACATTCTGTCTGTATTAATGTATTAGATAATGGCATTTTATAAATATTTTCAATGAGAACAATTATCATACTTATGGTACTTTAACATCATATAAGAAAACTTGGGTTGCCACTTAACTTGGACACTTAAATGATATATTCATCTCAATAAACATTAATCAAATCAAGAAAGTCCTGTATAAAACCTACAGGCATTACTAAGACAAATATTGTAATCTTCAGTGCACATTTTTATATGAGGCACTTTCGAGAAATGTGATAAAACATGATTTGAACATAAAGTGATATGTAATAATATAAACAGAGGTCTGCATAATAATTTTTACCACTTTTATACATAGCTCGCCTATTACATTATTATAAAACAGAATCTTTCCTTATTTTAAGAGGTCAGAGTCATCATTTCCCTCTGTAATAAAATTTTCATCTCACATGTCACCCACACAATTTTATGACATATCCCACACAACAGACAAAGGCCCTAGATTTATTTGTTGGATGATTTGGTTCCCAGAAGGTATTCTATTGATTAAACACTCCCTGACCTGTCTCATTATATACGTTATGTTCTACAGTACCTGACGTCAATGTCACGTGGCCACATAGTTCTAACAATTACTATATACATAGTTTTAACATGTAAATAATTCCTTAAGCAATTTTGAAACCTTTAATAATTTACAGACTGAACATAAAGAAAATTACTATCATGACAATACAAGTTATCAGCAAAATATAGTGCAAGGAACAATAATATACATGGAACAGGACTCACTGAAAGTATAGTGACATCACTTGAAGGATGATGAGTTTATTAAGTTCAAATGTTGATTGGAGTTACATACTTTGTCAGAGTGGTGATAACAGTGTTAAATCAAAATGATAGAATTCCTCAATGATTTTTCAGTAATAAAATATGTAACAGCCAATTCAGACAGCAAATGGGATAAGAATGCTCAAATAATTACAAATAAGTTTGAGGCCACAGAAATAACTGATTCTGATGTAAGTAATGTTATTAATTAAAATTAAATCCGTTGCGTAACAGCTCCAGAGTGCCTAAGCTGGCTGCCGGCCTCACGTTCACATGCCTAAGCAGAGGTGAACGATCATCCAACCAGATATAGGGTGGCGTGTGGGCAGCACGACGAACCTCCAGCCATTGCTAGTTTTCCTGACCGGATTACGCTACTCATTGTAGCTCCCCAATTTCCTCACGATGCTGGGTTGGCATCGGTCCCATACACTGGTCGAAAGCTCATGAGAAAATTTGCTCTCCCCCGAGACTCGAACCAGCACGCATTCCGTATCACCGATCCGAAGCATGACGCCTCAGACCGCGTGGCTACGGCGCGGGACTAAGTAATGCTATAGACCCTTTATAAATGGCACTTCTTATTAGTTAACTGAATATACTAACATTCCACTCATAGAACAAAATTAAGCAGAAATCAGATGCTACTATACAGAGGTTAGCTAAACTCCCTGTAACTACATCATGCTGTACACTATTACCTTCTGAGGAGGGGTACGTAGGACTCTCAGTATTGCAGCGTGTTCACTCCACACAAGTTTTCGGTAGCTTGGAGAGTGGCGCTGCTGTAGTGGGACAAGCACAAAGTGACCAAACAGCTCATCTCCATATGACACAGCTGTAAATTGCTCAACCAGTTGTGTGTACCTGCCAACATTCAGGATTATTGAGTAAGACTAACTTACTGCTACATACTTATACTTATGTTAAATGTACATTGTACAGATCGATCATCTACAGCTTTTATTTATTTATTCTTTAAAAAATAACAAAACATTAAAAATATTCTAATATCTAATTTACCTGTACACCTCCTCACCTTCACCCCCCCCCCACTCAGGGATGGGGCCATTATCGGTTAGGTAACGGTAAACCGGAATGAGGTGATGTTTAGGTGGGCATTGGCAAACTGTTAGTGGAGTATTGTGGTCGTCTCAGGGATGCAGGTATGCATTCAATCATGCTGCATTTGAAATAAACCAGTAATTATTATTCGAGTTGAAGTTCACACTAAAAAAAATATAAGCAACTTGAATCACTTTTCTTCCCTTTTGTTCTGACCGTTCCTTGGATAAGTTGAATAGTAATTGGAAACTGATTACCCGCGCAGTGGCACGGAAGGGCGACTGCTACGAGGACAAAGCTGCAAGTGTTTTTAACATCACCAATGCTAAGACAAACGTTCTTTTTTTAAAATAATTATGTGTTTTAGTTTGTTTAAATCTGCAGATTCTAATTGGTCAGCCAGATTGGAACTTAATCCGCTTCTTGGTTGAACAACTAGTTCAAGTGAGAGCAATTACTCTCTTATTGGCTAGCCACAGTTGAACAGAAACAGGGTGTGAGAGTGGAATACAGCCTTCTGGAAATATATCTGGATCTGAATGGGCATGCCCATGCCGGCAGATCTGGAAATACATACAGCCGAGCCTAGTCCTGTTGAGGTTGAGATTGCTACTGCAAAGTTTAAAAGGCATAAACCGACAGGTAGCGATCAAATTATGGTAAAACTGATTCAAGCAGGAGGTGAAACATTACATTCAGAGATCCATAAACTCCTTAATTCTATTTGGAATAAGGCATAAATTACATCCAGCTGGCAATATGCATAAAAAGCTGCATAATTCAAAGCTATTCATTTCAATTTATTTATGAGGTTTCATTGTACTGGTTTCTTCCTTGCATACCAACTATACTAGAGCACGTAATGGGGTTTTCTTATATACACAACTACATTATCCTACCAATGTCTTTTTACAGTCACAACTAATACTCTTTGATAATACAGTCATTTCTCGTGTAACGAAATGTGAATTGGCTATAAAAAAATTTATTTATAAGAGAAAGGTGTTTCCCTAATGTGGGTGCATGCTGGAAAAACATGACTGAAATAAGCAAATTAATAAATTCAGAGAAGCAGACCATAGACAGGCATTAAAGCTTAGAATTATTCTGACTTGGCTATAAATACACCAATATTGAACACAGAATGAGTTTTGGTGTGGTTTTTAATAGAAAATAATGTATTCAATGTTGTGACACCTTCCAAAATCTCTAACCCTTAACCCCTCATTTCCAACTAAATCAATGGTTTCTACAATGTGATTTTTCCATAAGTGTTTTCCAGGAATGCGCCTAATGTATTATAGGAGCACTTACAAATCATAGAATGAGGTGATACCAGAGATTTTCTCACTGAAATCAAGTAGAGAATTGCTCCTCAGGAGGATGCGCAGCAGAACCTCAAGGTGGTGGTGCACTACTGGTTCCAGGAACAAGTCGCTGCCTTAAAAAAGAAGCACTGCTATAATTCTACACAAGCGGAAAATACATGAAACTCATAGGTATGTAATAGAAGTGGGCAAGGCTATTAGCAAATTATGTTCCAGCTTCAGTTCACAGTTATGGGTTTGAATCCTGCCTCAGGTATGGATGTACTTCCTCACGACAACAAGGGATTCTGCCTTGAGCCGGCCAACCACGAAGGTAAAACATTTACGGCTGAAAAGGAAATCTAAGAAAAGCATTCCGAGAGGAAGACAGACCAAGAGAATTCTGCGGATACTAGAGGGAAGCCCAGAAAGTATTGCAAGACGTAAATATTCTTGTATTAACACCCACAATCTAGACTATGCGAGAAGAATGGATAAAGTTATATGAGCATAATTTATATGGCTACACGGATGACAATGATGAGACATGTAGTGCACAGATAAATGAGGAAAAATTCTGACAGAAAAATCCAAAGGATAAGTCTATGTGGGAGACCTAGGCATATATAAACGGGTTGTAAAAACTGATAAATTGAAATGAGTCAGGACAGGGAAATAAGATAAGCATACGTAATGATGAAAGATTCACATTTCAGAACGGAATTTCTTATTCACTCAAATTGATTATTAACTCTAAAAAGAAAGCCTTATACCAAAGAATTAGTTACATATATCATTACCTCTAGAACCCACGGTTCAGACCAAGCAGCCCTTTATCCAATAGCTATCTGATTCTGTCCCCTTAGGCATGCATCAGTCTGAATATGAACAAGATCACCAGTCTCAGTCTCATGTTGAAATCCAGAATGCATGGAGACTTATCTCCATGACTCCTCTGCATCTTCACAGTAACAAAATTGGGCAAAAATGCAACTTTACCATTGTTCCTCCTTAAGCTCAGCTACTGGGTCACACAGAAATATAATCATTCGCTCTCAAAGCTGCCCCCTCTCACCTGCAAGGAACACAGTTGACAAACGACAGAATCGGGCAGTGACACTGAGCGTTGCCATTGTCTGTGGCCGCAGACATTCCACTATGAGCAGCCACTGCAGTGAACTGACCACACGTTCTGTATTATTGCTGTTGTCTGTTTTCCTGAAACATGTTCTCAGAGTTAGATCCAATTCAAATCAGAGTTAGGTGTCTCCTTCAAACAATTTTGAAACCAATCAGAAGATTTTCATAAACCGAAGGCCTGAAGCTATAGCACATGAAAAAAAAGTCACTTATTTAACAAAAATACATTTACCTTTGTAAAAACAATAACTCTTACATTATTAATTTGTTTTACTGCCTTCATCATAACAATATTTCATTGTTATGAATATAATTTGTCAGTGCACAAAATTCTGTTATATTGAGATATTACTACTACAAATAATGTGAGACATTTACCCACTAAGGGCCTGGTTATACAACATCAGAATGGGAAGATAAGGCCAATCACTTGGGAATCCTTGTGTCAACCCATTTTCACCAGCCGTCTGTGATGAGATGTCAAGTGGACAAGGTTTACTGACTGCATCAAGGTGAAGGGATGTCTGATAGCAATTCCATAAATTGGGAATCCTGAAAAAATGGCATTTCACACACACAGTTCATTCAGACCATGATTCATATTTACTAGCTTATCATATGTCTCTGAAACCAACAAAATCTCAGCAGCTAATAGAGTACTGTAAAATAACCTGCGTGAGTGTCAATAGCATGCTATTGTTATTGTTTAAAAATTAACTTCTGAAAAAACAGTACATTGATTACTCACAATGATCTAATTCCAAAGTTAATACTGCATGGAGCTAAACCACCGCACCCCATACATTTTCAAGGCATGGTTCTTCATTAAACACCAGGGATGTTACCTTTAAATTTACAATATACTGATAAAGATAGACTGTCAATATATTGCCCTTATAAAGGCATGATAAACCAGAAGATCAATAGGCATATTTAATATATAAATGTTTACAATTGAAACATGAGTATTATAACAAAATTACAAATCTTTCTCTATCTCCAGTAACAGGGCCTCCCTAGCCAGATTGGTCAAGGGGGAGAGACTAAGACAGGTACCCTGGTCCTCCAGGTTGGGGGTTGATCGCAAGGGTAACAACCTTTCACCATAAAAAGGAAGATGTTTCGAAACCTCAATCAAATCCTCGGACAGACGGACCTAACAGAGAGGATAGGACCGAATGGAAAAGGAGAATTGTGGAGGCCATGGATAGAAATCGGGACTGGAGAGCCATAGAAGAATAATTCATAATGTACTTACAGTAAGCACTGACCTGCTAATAAACTGCCATAAGAGTACACCTTACAAACTTTACAGTGACAGTAATTATTAGTAATTACAAAAAACTGACATGAAAGTTCAGATTTTTTTCTTTCAGTGCATACTGAGAATAACTGTTTAATACAGCTGCAGATATTCCTCACAACCAGAGGCTGACTCATCGAACCACACAACCTGAGAATATGCCATAAAATGGTGAGAAGGAACTCATTTGATATGCTAGACTACATTAAGTGCTGCAAGAGAAAAACTAATAGACATTCTAGAAATTTTGTGCATGTGGTATTTGAGTTAAAACATTATATAGTATTTTCTTCCTAAATTCTGCTGGCCTCATTTAGTTGAGGACACTATCCCTACCTCAATTGTATGTATTGAAAAACGAACCAAGGACCTGAAAGTAGTAACATAACTTACTTGCTTGTAGCTTTCTCCAACAAAGTATGCACTGAAACTTTCTCCTGCTCTGATGCCATGTCAGTTAGTTTCAATGCCTCCAAACTGTATGCCACATCAGAACAGTCACTAGAAACACACACACAAGAAACTATCACAGGCCTTTGAAACTCACTGTCATGTCTGTGCAGCGATTATTTACCATCGTCATCCTGTGCTAAGAGAATACAGATCTTAGTAAAATAAAATACAGTAGGATTTCAGGTTTTCATGGCAGTGAGTCTGAAGATGACCGTCTTCTAGGTTGTAGTGCTGTGTAGTCTAATTAACTTCTAGCAGACTCCATGGTGCTACAACCCAGAAGACATCTACCTTCTTAAAATACAGTAAATCAGCAGGAGCTGGAATTCCTGAAATTGGCTACAAGGTTTGTCTATGTTATGAATTAATAGCAATTAATAGGCAGGCAGCCGACAATGTAATCATACCTGAAGAAGTCAGTGTTGAAAACTGCATAACTGAAAATTTCCTTGGCAAGGTGCTTTTCATCTGCAGGTATAACAGCAACCAGTCGAAGTGCCATGCTGTGGAACAGTCCAACATGTTGGAAGTTCTGGAAAAAAGAAATACGACTGCTCATACACAAGTTTGTTTCAGGTTTTCACGACTGGTTCTGTAATACAACTTCACCAACTGGCTCACTTATGTTAATATTAACATGTGAAAATGTGCATCATTAAGACAGCAATCATTGCTTGTCATTACATACTTTCTGAAAAGAAGCAGGAAAATCATGGACAAATATTAAACACACTTGTCACTGATATGGTGCATTTATTACTATTAATATTACTACCACCAGAGCAGTCTTCCTGGAAAGTTGGTGAGGGAACTTTCTGCTAAAATGAAACACGGCTAAGTTCATCTTTTGACCCAATTTTTAACAAGTTCAATCCACTCCACACCTTCACACCCTACTTGTTTAAAGATTCACTTTAATATTACTGACACATCCAACCCAGATTTTTCCTGTGTGGTTTCTAAACCAAAACTTTGTATTGATTTCCCATTTTAAAAATATCTCTTATCATGTAATCACACTAACAGGATTACGTGAGCATACAAACCATGAAGCTCCTCATTATATGTCACCAGTCCTTAATTACCTAATCTCTATTAGATCAAAATATCTTCCTTAGCACTTTTATCAAATACCCTCAGAATAATAGACAAAGTATCATACTCACACAAATTAAAAGGTAATATAGATTATGTACATATTTTACTCTGTAACAATATATATTGTAAAAAGAAAAACTAAATATTACTAATAAATGTTCTTGTAGAAAACTTCCCACACAATTTCAAGTGTCATATTCAAATAAAAATGCTTTAACTACTAAAACCTGGCCATTTTTTTGAAGTTTTACAATCATACAAAACTTGCACTAATAATATTGAATGGGACTAGCAATGCTCCCACCTAATACATTTGCAAAATGCCATAATGATACTGAAAACAGAGAGCTATAAATTATCAGTGGCAACTTATTCACTCCAAGTTTCAGAGAAACTCGTCAACTGGACAATACTGGAATCAATACTCATCAGGGGTCAGACTAGAGGCTTGTTAATAGGGTAATGGGTGATAAGCAATGAAAACTGAGTTCAAAACTTAGGACACGTAAATGAAAACTTGCCAGAGCCAATTCAGATTAATATGTGACCATTATGAAAAAGTTTTCTTATTGGTGCACTTACTGTAGCTGGCAAGACAACCTTCAGAAGCTTCAACATGTCTGCCAACATTGTTGTCTCAACACGAGTGAACCAGCTATCAACTGATTGAAGTTTGTGGTTCCCCAACTCAGCAATGTACTCCAGGATATGGGGGTTGTCAAGGAAATTCTGTATGCTCTGCAATATACAATGATTTACAATTACACATTTCCCTGTGAGGCATACTACTGTGTATGGGGAGCAGATCTTGGCACTACAGATCACCTTCACCATCTTCTTAATTCAGATCAGTAACCATTACAATCAGGTCTAAAAGATCTGTTCTTCTCAGACCAGGTACAGAAAACAAGGAAAGCTTTTCCTTTGAATATACCTGCCCAAGCCTTTCTTGAAGAATCATAAGCTTTGTCAAATAAAAATTGCTATCAAGAACTAGTCAACGTCATCAGCATATTAAAAGATGAAAAAAGTAGTTCTATTTTCGAGTATGAATTTGAACAAAAAAGTATTACTGAATGATTTCATGAAAAATGTGTATAATAAAAAATTTAACTTACCTTAAAAAATACAATAACAAACTGCTTTAAAATAAACATGTGAAAAACACAAGCACCTTGGATGTCATCTGAAAAGGACATTAACAAAAGTCACTGCAAAAAGAGATTAGTTGTAACCTACTAATTACATTGACCAGGGCACTTCCTGAGAAGCTTACAGTTGCTCAGAGAACATGCTACTGGAGGGTGTTTGTCATCATTAAGCACATTAATGCAGTCCACATCCTCACATCCTATTTCTTTAAAATATATTCTGATATTATCCTACCATCTACGGACAGGTCTCTCAAATTGCCTATTTCCTTCAGGCTTTAGAACTAAAACTTTTGCGTGCATTAACAAAGAGTTCATGTGAATATTAATTATCATTGAAATATTCATCAACTTAAGAAAACCATCATCACAGAATGACCATAAAGTACCTGGTATGTGTATCTATAAACAACAAGAAAACCTAGTTTAACTCCCAAATACAAAGTAACAAAGCAGGCATGCTAACCACTCAGCCACAATGTTCGGTGATGCGAGAAGGAGGTATACGAAAGTAACAGAAGCACTTAAATAAGAGATGTCATATTCAAAAAATAAGTTCTACTGTACAGTTTTACAGTGTGATAAGACAATTAATGTCCGTAAACATTAAAATTTATTTACTAACAACAACATATCAGATCCTTCTGGGCACAATATACACTGTACCTTATTTGCACTCTGAAGTGAACGTACCTGTCACAGGTTTATTCGATAAATACAAATTAGAAGCGTGGATATCAGATTCTCATGTGCAGGGAAGTTCAAAGTTCAAAAATTTTGGTTTTTTCACATATTATAACAGAGTGCAAACAACCAATCAAGCTGAACTGACCTGTAAATGAATCCCTCGATGCAGAGAGCATACAGATGCAAGAAAGTGTGCTAGTGCCTGAAGAAAGGCCAGTGGAGATGTGGGATTTATAGATGGTATTACCTCCCTTCCTCCCCACAGCACAGCCCCAAGGGATGGGAGTGACGGTGGATCACGATCCCTTCCAGAGCGTTTCTTGCTCAGTAGACAAGAACTTGATCTGTACAGAACAGAGAACTATTCTTTCTAACTGCCAGTGTTCTCTCCTTGTATTTACCACGACTTTTCTCACAAAACACACAACAAAGGTATGCTGGTATGGCAGAATTCCGCATAGGACAGCAAACATTGTCTTTCAGAGAAACCTTAGTGGGACTACAATGTAACTGGAGACATTAGTCTCAAAAGCAATTTATACTCACTTGATTCTGCTACAAATCAGCTTGAAGTTCGAACTGTACAATAACGGCTGAAGAGCTGAGTTCATCAAATCTTCAATCTCCTCAAGCAGAGAAACAATATTTACCCCGGGCTGAAACAACCCACAATAAGTTATCAACTTCAAGCTGACTAATCGCTCCAGTCATTCAAAAATGTCACCTTATTCAATAAATCAAACCCAAATATAACAATTTTGAAAATGCAAGCATAGTGTAACAATGTGGTTAGCACTGATGGTTTTTTGGACTTTGCCCATCATATTATACAAATAGATCAGATCCAGCTACTGAAACATTGTAATCTATCTGCAGAATACAGGATCATGAATGAAGTTCAAAACATTACCAACACCATAAATACCTTTTAATACTGTCATAAACAAGGACAATATGGATGAGAAAGGACCTTCATTACAAAATAAGATTAAAATAAGTCCTAAAGTTGAGTTATGAGATGACACAACAAAAAAACTTTCATTTAATTATCTTGAAAACTGCAAGATTTATTGGAAATGGATATTGGGCATACAATGTATATTTAATTTTCTCTACAACCCTTGTTTGAAACATTTTTACCTCTAATAACCCAGAAGACAGCAATCTTCAGACTCACCGCTGTGAAAACCTCAAATCCTACACAAAATTAGGTATATTCCCATTTACATCTTCATCTCTCACATGTTCTCATTCTTCAATATTTTAAATGTGCCATTTTTATTATAATTAACTGCATGGCACATGTAAATAAAAAGCTAGTTTTCAATAACAGAGTTGTTAATGTTTTAAGAGACACTGGCTCTATGACTCTCCATCAATGCCAGATAAGTCAGCTGCCATGTTATAATTGTGTAACAGAATTAAAGTGAGAATTAAAACAATGTACATGAACTGATACTCAAAAATGCAGAAATGAAGTGTGTGTGTGTAGATGGAGAAATTACTACAATTATTATCAGGAATGATTTTTTATCTCTCAGGAAGATACATGAAAAAGTTTAAATACTGGGAATGAAAGCAACAAATCAAAATTACATTCATGAAGAAACTGAGAGCAAATGAAAATTCGGGGACTGCTTGTTACCATCCAGTTCATAATATTTGGTCTTCTGTGTTCTATCTAATAATGTTAAGATTAAAATATACAAAACAATTCCACCTGTTGTTTTGTATCTCTCTAATATATAAAAAATAAAAAAGGAGGGTAATTTCTCATCTAGCTCAGAGACAATAATTTCTCAAGAACTTTCTTCCATGGACTTAGTCTGAGTTATTTTACTAAAACACAATAGTCAACAAATGAATCTTGGCATGAGAGTATACAGGCAGCTGCTCTATTGGACATTAACCTTTATTCTCTTACAAGGAACTTTTCATTTCAGGTTAGAGTTGAAACCTTAATATGACACAGACACACCTGACTATGGAATATGGAGTACCTTACTGCTGAAGAATTCAGGGTAGCTGCAACCAACTTTAACGCAGAGAACTGTAAAAAAATAAACAATATTTTTACTATAAATCCAAACACCACACTCAAGACTTACAGATTCTGATGGTGTACTGAAATCTGGATTATTGAGTTTCACAAATTTTCCATTGTCTCGTACATCAATCACTGGAGGTCCAGTCCCAATAGCAGGTTACCCCCCTTCCTTAATACTCTAAGAAAACATACATCAATCACTGGAGGTCCAGACCCAATAGCAGGTTACCCCCCTTCCTTACACCAGAGGACAAAAACAAAACCAGTTTTTGAAATGTTGTGTGTTTCTTAGAATACCAGACAAAACCTCAGTAACCCAGAATACTTAACACTTGTTTCTTGTATAAGCACTTGAACTCTTACTGTAACATCTTCAGCTCTTGCCAACTGATTCATCCACTTCTTTAGGCACAAGTGAAGGAACTGATTGAAACCAGAAAGATGTTCATAATAAATGGTCACTACCGCTCGCTGAGCGATGTTAGCTACTGTCTGCTCTGCAGACCTCTTCATTTGGGTATCAGAAGCTAGCATTGCTTCTTTCAGCAATGACATAACTGCTGCCCCATGTTCATGACCAAATTTGGAGCTAGAATCTGAAGCTGATGTGGCTGACAGATGAAACTGAAGCAACCGCATGAGTACTGGATAGAGATCACTGCAAACAAAACATGTCTGTGTGCTATTAATCTCTGTTATGAAGCTCACAGTCTCAATACCCTCAAACCCTGAGGTGGAGACAGGAAGTAACTTGCTCATAATGCAGAGGTGACTACCAAAACATAGGATGCATCTCATAAAGCCTCTCCTACTTTAATGCCAACCTTACCTCCACGTAGCACATCCATTTTAAAAAATAAAGCTTTAGTGACATGGATACAAATATTGTTAAAACAAAAATGTTTTATAAAAACCATTAATGTAAAACTCACACTAAATGTTTGGTCTCTGCTGTTATTTTATATGGCAGTTCTAGGGGATTAACATACACTCTTATGTTCAACAAACTTATAGGTCTTTTCAAAAAATACCAAGACTAAAAGTGTGGAAAAATAAAGGTGTTGTACTTGTAAAGATGGGATGTTCATTCCCTTCAAAGTAGGTTCCTTCAGCATGTAATCATCTGTTAAGCCATTACTGTCAATACTTGAAGCACCTCTCAAATTTAATTTTTGAAATCGCCAAGTGCTGTCCCATTGCATTGCATTCCATGTTTCTACAATATAAAATCTTTTGCTTTTCAAATACCTTTAAGTTTCAGGAAGCCTTATCGAGTGAGATGGGAGGTTGTCTCACTTATAGAATACTGCTCTTGGCTAAAATTTCACACAAGCTGGGCTAGGGGGCAGGACATTAAAAAAAGTGATTTAGTCATTTTTTGGATTCTCACTTTTGTGGTCATTTATGACACAAAGCATCACAAGGAAATGTCAGCATTTGTGAACAGTAACGTCTGTCAACTATCAGACTCCGTAATAGTATACCCATGATGTATGATGCCCTCACAATCAAAGAAAGCAATAAAAATAACTGATTTTGCTGCACTCTTCGTGTTGTGCCTTTGTCTGTTTGCAACAAGAAATGGGATTCCCATTTCGATGAACACCACTTAGTTTTGGTGTCATGGCCATAGATCCATTGTTCACCACCTGTTATGATACTCCAAAGATTTAATTGTTTTACGCTCATTCAAGCAAGACACAAATAGCAGTCATAAATATATATGCTATCAAAGAACAAAAATGTATGAGGTTACACCCATTGTAATAAAGCGTTACTTCAAGTGACCTTAGACAAATAAGACTCACATGAAGTGTTTGCTGGCAAAGTTATAAGCCAGGAGGGTCTCCCACAAGTAAAAACTCTCCAGGCTGAGTCGTACAGCCTCCTGTTGGGGAAGGCCACACTCCCTGAAAGAATGACAAGAAATTCAATGGTCCCTAAGGCTAATGACTAATTCCCTAACAAACTATATGCAGAGTCCTTGGTGATGACATTCAGTTTAGGCAAGAAATTTCCAAATTTCCCATCTTTTATGAATGTTTACAGTAGCTCACCAATGCTCTCTATCCTGATACACTTAAATCCACTCTGCACCATCACACCATATTTAAGATCCATTTCAAAATTATTCTCCAATCTGTGAATAGATCATATTAATGATGTATTCTAAAGAACAGCTGAAAGACAATAGCATGAACGCACATCCTTCTTTCAGACCATTCTGAATATGAAAGGAGTCAGATATATCTTTAATTGTATGGGTGAGTGGTCAGGAGCACGCCCCGGCCGGCTTTACCCCCGGGAAAGGACCCTGGTACCCATTGGATACGAGGCTGGTGGGCCTCAGAGCCGGTCTGGACGCAGAGGCTAGAGGAAAATCCTCTGCCTGTCGGGGATCGAACCCCGGTCGTCCAGCCCGTAGCTAGTTACTATACTGAGCTATCCCAGCTCTTCCTATTTTATAGTACTAACATGGAATTTACTTGGAGGGGCTGAGCAAAACCATGGAAAACCTGTCAGGATTGCCAGTCTCCTAGTCAAGATCTGAACCTGGGACCTCCACAATACACAACAGAAGTGCTATTCATTGTCATGTATGGGCCCTTAATGGCACACGCATCTTATTTTCCCCACTAATTAGTTTGTTTACCATGTCAACTTAAATCTGTTATCAGAAGAGTTACCTAGGATCAATACTGATGTAACTGACTACAGAATCCATCACTCCATATTTGTGGACAAGGTCTGATGCCATGGAGCGGGTGCAACTGGCTATCACTCGCAACAGTTTGAGAGCTTCCACCAGTGGGATTCCATACACTGAGGACATCTCCATGGGCTTACAGGATCCAACTTTAAAAAAAATGTTAGAACATCACTGCCATAACTCAAAATAACCTCCACATAATATTCTGAAGATGGTTAGACAGCCTGTTAATCTGGCCCCATTTGTATACGTTCAATTTATCATTCTCTTATTTTACAAGAGGAATGAGCTGACATGTGACATAATAAGAAGCCATCCATGAGACAGACACTACTTAATGTTATGTTCTCTCTTAGCTGGTACAAACCTAAGCCTCTCCAATCTCTTGGGACAAAATTAGTGATGATTACAGAAACCAATCTTGGACAACATGTGACCGCAAGAGCTGAATCATGAGAGTGGCGGACAATCCTGGTAAGGATCTCCAGTACATTGATGACAGCTTTTGGACCTGGATGCAACACTTCTAGAATATACCTGAAACAATTAACTTCACCATGTAATAAAAGTAATTTGCCAGCCAGAGGGATAATGACTCGATAAGAAGAAAAGGTAAGAAACTACTATCATTTTACTGGTCATAAATGTAGATATATTTACAATTCCTTACAAAACTCTTTCATCTGTGACATATGTTTCAGTTCAGTTATCCTGAACACATTAATTAATCAAATGTCTACCTTGAGCCAAACGGTCCATGCATTCAGCAAATATATGAATACTTGTAATTTAAATAAAAGTTAACCTCTATGCAAAACCAGATACTGCAACACGTTTATGATGGGTATTCTAACACCAATGATCACACGATCTTTACTGATAGTTGGCAGATTTGTTTTTCTTACGTGACTGTGATTTAACCCAAGGCGCAGTTTACATCTGACAGTACAGAGCAGCATTTGGTTACATTATTTCACAAAGGGAAAGTGTTATGAAAATGAGACACCATCTTGGCAAGTCACAGTTTTAGGTTATCAAGCAAACCTACACTTGAGTCGTCAACGTATGTTCTTTATTACTGAATTATGATTGTTCAAACATAGCTTTGTCACTCAACCAGCCTACATCAGGAGAAAGATAATGCTTCATACACCCAGGTCTCAAGTTTTAATTGCCTAAGAGGGTATAAAATGCTGTGGGTGTCACTGAATATGCACATAATGAGATGCCAATTGGTTGCATATACCTCAGACACTAGTCTAAAATTTTAAAATTGTTACAGGTTGTTTTATTTTCACATAAGAGCACTGTTACTTTCGCACAAAAATCCATAGCATTCCTAAATGTTATTGGTAAACAACCTATGGGTCATTCAACCTAATTCAAAACATCTGAACAATAGAAAATTCTGTAACACAATTCCATCTCATAGTAGGGTCTGGAGGTTTTCACGGCAGTGAGTTCAAAGATGGCTGCCTTCTGGGTTGTTGTACCATGTAGTCTGGTAGAAGTTTACCAACGTTTTCAAGGTACTTGCTGCCTCCATCATCAGGGTAATCACCCTAATTATGACAACATGATTCATCAGAAAAAAGTTCTGAATATACCAACAGCTGCAACACTAAAACAAGTTCCCTTCCGCAATGCCAACAGCATTACCTCAGCCTCAAGATGAGATCAGTCCTCAGTGCACCCTTCACCATGTCCATTCTTAAAATCTGGTGATCCTTCAACTCAGCTTCTTCTTCCTCTTGCTCTGCCTTGTCGCTGGGTTTCATCACCACATTTGTCACCATGAGAGATGGCTGGCGCTGCCCGTTCCACAGCCCAAGTAGGCAGTCCAAGCAAAGCTACAATTTACAAGTCGGGTATATAGGATTTGAGGTTTTCACAGTGGTGAGTCTAAAGAAGGTTGTCTTCTGGGTTGTTGCGCTGTGTAGTCTGGTAGAAGTTTACTGACGTTTCATAGGACCTTGCTGCCTCCATCATCAGGGCGCCGTAAACGTCAGTAAACTTCTACCAGACTACATGGCGCAACAACCCAGAAGACAGCCATCTTCAAGTCAGGTATAATTTAATGACACGTTTCATCCAGGCTTTTGTTAGCACAAAAATAAACCTTCGGGATTCACAAAATGCTGGTAATTTCTCAGTTAGCTGAGAAATTATTTGCTTCTCAAGGACTCGCTCTATGGGGCGAGTTAGTACATACCTTTTATTAACATGATACTAGACAGTGCATTAATCTCTTAATGTGAAACGTAATGAACTACACATTATGACTTCTCAATCACCTGCAACATACTGCCAGATACTACAGTACACATTCTGAAAAGATTATTTATGCTATAGTGTAGGTTCACAAAACAAGTACACCCTACAATTATAACTTGCATTAAACAAAGACCCTTCTCCGACACCTTCATCAATCAAACTGACGTACAACTAGCTGTAAAATTTCAATAACTTTTTGCAATGGCTGTATTCACAGCTCTTCAGACGCGTTCCAGAAATAGGCACTAACTTAATAATTATTCAGTAGTCAGTCATTACAAAACTGAAAAAATCTGATTATACTTTATCAACAATCAAGTTACACACTGTCAAATGAGATGCCAAGAGGGATGTAAAAAAAAAAAGCCATAATGACTATTTTAAAATCCATCCCAGATTCACTTGGAGAAAGTGAGGGAAAGTTTTGGAAACAGTAACACAAACAATTCTACATCTTCCTGAAATATCAGCTTTCTTCAGTGGTGCCTTTACAACACTATACTGTACCTCATCAGGATGATTCCACAGCAAGTTTCTCAGGGCAAGGAGAGTTGCAGAGACCATAGTCTCAGTGTTGTCATCCAACGAGAACCGAAACAACAGGTACAAGTCTGAGTCCATTAGCTGATTCAACAGAGGAGTTAGTATACATTCATCATAGTAGCCAGCCTTTGTCTGTAAAGAGAGGAATCATATTTTTCTGGACCCAGAAAATAGAGCAAATAATCCCACTTCCTTTGTCAACCTCCATATAAAAATTAAGTACCCTATTGATTAATTTAAATGGGTGACCATAATCACTTCGTAGAAATATAGCCCACAGATTCAAAAAGTCAAACACATCCTACTGCATTTACCCAAATGGAAGACAAAATCTATTCCCTAATTTTAAAGTTAAAAAGGGCTATCACAAATTTTATTTGAAATTCATATAGGTGCCTTTTTTATTTCATGCTATATCATGTTTCAGACATAGTGACATAGAGAGATATGTTTCAAGGTTAAGAGGAATGTACTATCGTAAATATTGCCAAAGTATCACCAAAAGACAAGAGACAAAAGTTTTCTAAATTCATACATAACAAGCTTTAAAAGTTGAGGTCTGTAGTTGATTTCCAACATGGAGATTACAACTTCAGCTGATGGAAAAAGTGCAGCCTTTCACAGTAGTATGAAATTTTTGTGAGAAAAAATTTGTTTTATACCTGGTTGAAAATAACACATTTACATCTACAAAAACTCTGCTGGGGTGTGCATTTCATCTGCTGAGCATGTTGAATTACAGTACCTTGTCCAGAATGTTAGCCAAGGTTGTAAGTGCTAACACTCGCTGCTGCTGCAGAGAACTGCGGGACAACTTCAGTAGTTCCTGTAATGTGTAGCCTGGACGCTCAGGCTCTTCACCATGGTGATGCAATGCTTGGGTCACATTAACTTTGTCATCAGCAAATGGTAGCAGGAAACCTGGTAATATACAGTCATCATCATCAACAACTTTACGGATTAGGCCATTGGGCCTGTTCCATCTCCTTGGGTTAATCACAGCTCGTCCTTCCATAATACACAATACAATGTTATTATTGTTTATTAACCCTAGAAGCAATATTATACATTCCTGTAATGACTTCTTGCCCGATAGACACTGGTACTAACCTACAAGTCCACATGGGGTTACAACCCAGAAAAGCAACAATGACTTCCTCTTCTAAGAGTTAATATCTCTGTATTGATTGTCAAATCATCATTTGCTTTTTCTAAGAGTTAAACATGTGTACATCTAAACGAAATCCTGTGTCAAGTACTTCATTGAGCACCCACTGTACAAAGTTTAACTTAATCAGATGTTACATAAGGGTAAGCCAGGAAAATTTTCAGTCCAAAACCTGAAGCCTCTGACATGGTCATGAAGACATACACGAGGCATAAATCTAAGCTTCACGGATTTATAATCTTCACATTTGATGGAGGTCGGTGACTAACTTGATACTTCAGACACACATTCTTACTGCCCCAGGAAAAGCCCCCAGAAGCAAGAGGATATAGGGTAAGGCTGGGTGGGATCTGAACCAATCTAAAGATGTTTGCAAACAGAAGCAGCCCAACAACTCTGCAGGGTATGGAATCTTGGCCTGTCACTTTACTAAGCAAACATACTTCTGCCAAAATTAATATATGAAGCTCACAATAATATGGCTACAGCCACATATCACGCTTACACATGCAAAGAGAGTGAACATACGATTCCAAAATTTCAGTCCAAAAATAGAAGCATGACCAAAATGCAAGTCCATCACGCCCCTTTGCAAAACACATAATTTAACATATGCGCTTCTCTCAAGGCATCTAACTCAATCTACAGCCCATAATGTGAAATACTAGGTGAAAATGTGAATGTTAGTCTTCTAGATTGTATCGCTCCCATCAAATGTATGAATAAAAATTTTAAATACATATGTATGACAAATGAAAAAACCACAAAAGTTCAAATATATTTCTATTTAAAACTCACAACTTATTTGCAGATTGATATTTTATGCCAGTGCATAATACATATATGCAATTTGAAACATAACAATGATCCATAATATGAAGACATTTGTAGAAAGAACAACATTTTACAGCATAAAATAGAAGTGCAACTTATACATGCATATAATTGATAAAAGATAAAATGTTCATTTTTTACCATGACAGACTCAAGACAATAATTTTTAAACCTTACAAACTAGTTTCTAATTCAACTACTTCAAGAGGACATGTTATGGTACTAATTTCATACCTTGAAAGTCAAACCTTGCAGAGTATGGTGCGTCGGCTGGGGCTGCAGTAGCAGGAGGGATGTCACCAATCCAATGCAACTTCTCATGCTCAATTATGTCCATGTGCAGCCATCTGTTGGCTTCAATGGACTTGGCAGCCAAGTCAACTGCTACACTGCCTATTTCAACATCAACCTGACATGAAGTGTTGTTATTCTCCAGACTCTTACTTTGTGTTTGTTTTTCATTTTCAGATTCCACAGCAACAGCAGATACCTGAACTCTGTCCTCTGACTGAATTGCACTTGTTATGTCAACACACTGCAAAGGCAAATCTTCCCCATCTCCCATTAATGACACTCCTGGTTCATTGCCACATGGTAAATCCGTATCCATCTTCACATAACTAGAAACCTCAGGGTTTAATTCAGAAATATCTGAAGGCCGTTTCACAGTCTGATCCACCATCCCAGAGCGTTCTTTTCCCTTTCTTCTTGATCGGATAAACAGAAGCAATTTTGTATCCAACTCAGAAGCAAGTTTTTGTTGTTCTTGGAGTATTTCTTCTGCAGACATTTTAGACAATCTTTCAACATTTTCCTGGTGTATAGTTGCAGCATCTGGTCCAGTTAAAATTAAGCTTCTGTCTCCTATAAAGCAAAGTTTAAGGATGAACTATTTCTGTACTGATGAACCTACAATTACTTATCAAATTGGTTAGATTGAAGGTAATGTAACAGACTTGTGTTCAGGAGGTTTTGCTTCATTCTTACATGAAAATATTATGATAGTGCCATAAAATATCAAATGACCACTTCACCCACGTTACTTATGCTGCTTAACATTAAATCACCTAAATACAACATCAAAAAACCAACAAACAAATAAGGAGTATACAGAAATGAAGACAGAATCTGCATAATAATGTTTACTCAGTTCAACACAAGCTTATACATAATCTCACCAAAACAATTAATATTTCAGTACCCCAATTGGAATTCTGTCAGCCTATCAGAAAAATGAAATGAAATATCCACTTGTGGAATCCGTATTATATAAGAACCTGTTCAATTTCTGCTTTGACAGAGGAAATGAGCAAAGACCTTGTGGAAATGGTCCAGCAAATAATACACAGTAGCATAGCTTAAACAAGAAGACTGAATAAAAGTTCTCAGTGACAATGCTAAATGGCAAAATGTTCTGTACAAAGGTCCATAGAGCAATTTGCAATGAGATTCTTTGGTTTCACAAGACTTTTCAATATGAAACGGAGTATTTATTTATAGTTTATTTAATGACGTTTTTTTCAGTAGCTCACACTACATAACGCCAAATGAGACAATGACATTGAATATTCAATTGGAGTAGAGCAGTTTCGGTGGAATAAACTGTGACAAATGGAATTGTTGAAGATAAATTACAGAGAGAATAAAAAAATGTAAGAAAATTTTACCAGTTTGTGAGAAACATGCTCTACAAGACCCTAAAAGGGAGAAGATATGCCTACATAAAAGATACAGAGATTCTGAACATGAAAGTGAAAGGAAGACAGCCAAGAGGGAGGTAAGGATCTAGACTGGAATGACAGGTTATGAAAGATGTCACAAAGAGGGAAGGAAGAGCATGGGAAGACAAAGACAGATGGACAGGCTTGGTTTTCAGATTACCCACCTAAATTGGAAATGTTTTAGGAACAATAAGAAAAAATAAGACTGATTTTATGTCTTTGTGTTGCGAGATGTAAAGCACGTTGGTGGCGAGCAATTACAACAGCATGAGTACACATGGTTTCTCCTGTCAAGGAAATGTCTGACAAGTTTCAAACTGAGTCAACATGTGTTGACACCTGCTCATATAATAATTACACAGCACTGAGAGCTTTCTATGGTTAACTAGACCAATACACTTTTCCATCACCATAGAGACAGCCTTATCCTTTGCAAAACGTGCTCCTAAACTCTAAAAATTTGAAAAGAACCTGCAACCAGTACATGACAAGAACTTTGTCATGCAAATGCGTAAAAACTCAACAGTGTACTTCTGAAAGAGGCACATCATGAGAAGACACCTGCTGTAAAAAGATTCCTTACCAAATCGATGGTTTGCATTCTCAATGTCAGCTTGTTGATGAGGTTCATGTGTATCCAAAATCATTTCTTTTGATGGTCCACTTGCTTTCATTTTTTCAATTTGCTGAGCAAATATACTTTTTCCTTTAGCAACAATCTGCAAATTAAATAAAACAAGATGAACGACGAAGGTAGCTGTCTTCAGGATTTTACAAATGACATGGGAAGATTAAATATCCAGAAGCATAACTTTGAGACTGAAAATGCTGAAAAAAATACAAAATGGACAAACTGTGTTTTACAATACCCATAAAATGGCCACCACATCTAATACTGGGTGATGATAATGATCAATTTATCTGTATTATCTGAATAAGAATTGTCTTAACCTACTAATCCATACCTTTTCATCTCTCTCAAATGGTTGAGGAAACCCTTGCTGTGAGAGTGCACTAGGGGGTGGTGCAAATTTGGGTGTCATATTCTTCTCTTTGATTTCTCCAAGAACATCTGGACCAACTGTTGACAATTCATAAAAACAGGTTTGTTTACACAGAAACTCTCATGTGTACTAGATCAATGTCCACCACACCATCAATACTCCACCTCATGACTTTGACCAATGGCTTAAATGGCAAAGAAAACTTCTACAACACAAATTAAATACAAAATTGTCAACATATTACTTTTTCATGAATACCGACTCATATACTCACCCACATTTCTTGTATTTCCTTTTTTGGAAGATCTACTTTCTGCTCTACTGGAAGCAAACTTTGAACGAGGCTTTTTGCATGAAGCATCCTGTGGCTTACCTACAATAAAGAAGTACTAAAATATACAGTGACTGTGTAATTAGTGCGGTGAGAACACTACTAGGGTAATTTAAATGTGCTAATTCTTCTCTGCAAAAACTTTATTCACATCACAACTTCATTACTTTGGATCACTTCAGTGATAAAGAATTTTCAAAACTCCTAGGCTGTACTAGTGGTGTGGTCCAGAAACTGTTATAATTCCTGTAATTTCTGGTGTAATACCTAGGCATTTTTTTAGATTAAAATCCAGAACTAGATAAAAATGTCAAAGAAAAACTCAAACCTCTATCAGTAAGTCAACAAAAAACTTAGAATATAACCAGAAAGAAAATATTTTGTTCTACCGCCAGAACATCAAAGGGCTTCCATTAAAAATGAAGAATTATCTACCGCCAGAACATTAGAGGGCTTCCATTAAAAATGAAGAATTATTAACTTAATATTCCCACTCACCACATATTCTTTGTTCAACTGAACACCATCAGAAAGCACTAGATACCTTACAGGTTAATTTAGACAATTATAGACTAGGAAGTAGCTTCTGCAGAAGAAATTTAACCAGAGGAGTGAGTATTTTTGTTAAAAACAATCTAAAATTTAGCCATATAGAGTTAAAGCAATTTTGCAAGGGACAGGGCATAGAATGTTGTGCTGTACAATTTGATACTAAAGTTTGTAAATTGTGTTTAGCAATATACAAAGCACCATCAGGTGAATTCAAATTTTTTTAAAAAGTAAGACAGCATCATGAACTACCTTTACGAACTGAAAACTGCATTTGTCATCTGTGGGAACATAAAGTTACCATAAGTAATGTTGAAATTCCCTTTTAGCATCATTTAATCTCACATCTATAGTTAGTTTCTTCACAAGAATTCAAAACAGCACCAAATCTGCAACTGATAATATTTTTACAGATATTTCCATTAAACCGGTGCAAAATGGGCTATCCAATTATGACGCTCTGCTATTAGTTACAAAAAACATCAACCCCACTTATAACTTTCACAATCATCAGAAGGTAACTAGAGTGGTGCATGATGTCACTATAAATGAATTCATAAAATATCTCAGTAGTGAAGACGGAATTATTATTCAATGGTGGTGATGTGGATTCAGGGTTTAATTCTTTTCTGAATAGAATTTTTTTTTAAAAAGTTTCTATATTAATGTGGATAAAGGGTTGTTTGAAACCAATATATGGATAACTAAAGGCATCAAAACATCATGCAAACATATCAGAACCCGTAACAAACAACTACTTTAAAAACACTACAGAAAATATTACAATATATTAACCTGTGTCATCAGAGAAGCTTAACATCTACATATCAGTAAACTCATAGCAGTCTGACAATAAAGTAAAAACTGGAAAATTATAAAAATGGAAATTGGTGAAGAATATACAGAAAATGAAAGCCCACCAACAAAGATAAATTGATAATATAATAAATGATATTAAATAAAAGCTAACTCTTTTAATACCTACTTTTTAAAAATGGCAGGTGTTAAAAGCAGTCTCTTGTAGAAAATTATTTTGGAAATTTACTATACTTCCACTTGCAAGTGAATATAAACTCTATCATTTGTGGTGGAAAACTTGAACAAATTACAAAGAAATATAGATGTACACAATTTAAACACAATACATAAAGCAGTTAATACACTAAACTAAGCTCAGCATGTTTTGCTATGAGGACAGTTGTAGCACTCATGAAAACAGAAACTTTAAAATTAGTTTATTTTGCTTACTTCCAAGCATCATGTCATATGGAATCATTTTCTGGGGAAATTCAACGGACAGCAAAAAAGTATTTTACATTCAAAAGAGGATCATTAGAATAATGACAGGCACTAAAAGGAGAGACTCTTGTAGGGAATTATTTAAGAAGTTTAATATTCTTCTACTACCCAGTAAATTCTTGCTCTCACTATTATCATTTGTGGTGGATAACATGGAAAAATTTCAAACAAATACAAATATCCACAATATAAGAACAAGACACAACCTTCATGTGCCAATTTCTAACCTCAGTAAATATCAAAAAGTAATTTACTATACTTGAATTAAGTTATTCAATAATCTTCCACCTACTATAAAAAGTTTAAACCATGATATAAAAATGTTTAGGCCAGCATTAAAAGAGTATCTCCTATCTCACTCCTACTCAGTAGAAGAATTTATAAATACATGTAAGTAATAATAGTGATGGTTCTCATCATAATTATTTTGCTGTAATACTGTAGTTTCAAAAATCTGTCAATAGCTGTTATAATTATGTATTTATATTTGTACTGGAAACAAGTATTGTATTTGTGCTATGACCTGTTCCACATCCTTGGCTTAAGCCTATGAAGGACCTATGGAATGTAAATAAATTCTATTCTATTCCATTCTATAGTTGCCACTGTGCCTTAAAGGGTTAACGTGTCTGCTGACAGAATCACACAAGATAAAACTTGACCATACACCTTAGCTGAATGAGAAGCACACCCATGTATATGACTTGCATTGAAAATGTCTGTCTTCTGGGATATTGTGCTAAGCAGTCTGGTAGAAACCGACCATGTTACAAAAGATCTTACTGCCTCCATCATCAGGCTGTGTGACCAGATTACAGAAAGTAAGCTCCTCTGAAACATGGACCTTTTTTACTGCATCTTATGGTTATTAACATAATATAGGTGTAACGAACACACGCTCTAAAGTCATTCCAAATTTAAACGCATTGTGTACATACCAGAAACTGGTTCATTTCCTTGTTCTGATTTTCGTTTATTAATGATGGTAGCAGACGGCGTCGGATTTTTATTCGAAAATTCTTCTTGAAGTTTCAAAATATCTTCTTCGGTTTCCTCAGCCTTCGGTCGGGCGAACATCGTTTAAATTAGTTAAGAAAAATGTAAACGAAATTAAAACGTACGGAATTAGGCGAATGACATCTTACGCTTATCCCCCATACCAATATATCTTCCTGACTTCCGATCTTCTCGTAAGAAGTTACTATGTTATACACTCAATCAGTCGAACTTCACAGTATGACATTAGCATATAAATCATCATATCCCGCAATATTATTTGAAGTATCAACGTGCCACTAGACTTCCGACCACCACGCAGGATTACACAATGCTTGCCATAGATAATAATAGCTTGCCACAGGTTATATAATCGATAATTTGCTACGAGATTTGAGAGAAGTGGAAAAAAGTGTATCAATGAAAGACACTGAAATACATTATTATAAAATACTGTAGTAAATTTCTCAGTGCAGATAATTCCTGTTTAAATGTAGACATTCTCTCTATTATTTTTCTAAACTGTATTATAAAATTACAATAGCCACATCTGGTCACCTTTGAATGTCTTCTTAAAGCTCCTGTCGGCTTCGACAGCTCAGTTGAAATATAGGCTCCGCGATTTCTTTCACCTTATAATTTCCACGAAGTAATTAATAACCCATACTCACCTTTAAAATGGTAACTGTAGTGTTTGCCTAAATATTAACACCAAACGTTCGACGCGGCTGTCACCGGAAAAGCCAAATCTTCCTACATTCCTTGATTTATTGACAGAATCAATTATTGAGTCAGTATCATTTTCCACAGCTATCACTGATTAAGCCCTCAGACCTACTCTATTTAAGAACTATTTCTAAAACAATGAGTACATTATAAATTATAATAGTATCCTTTGACAGGGGATCAGCCTATCACCAGTCTGTCAGTATCATTTTTCCATAATCATGTATTGTGACCTGTGTTAGCTAGTTAGTGAGTCATGCAATTTGACAGGGTCTGTCATGTATTGTGACCTGTGTTAGCTATGTGTCATAGTTAGTTTCTAGTGAGTCATGCAATTTGACAGGGTCTTAGATCAAATACACGGCTGTAGGATTTCATGCAGATGACAAACTGCAAACACTGAAAATAACTATACAAACTTTCACCTTTTGTACATTTTGCATTTATGGAGAGTTAATATGTAACTGTTTCTTCTCACCATGCAAGATGTTCCTTCTATTCTTCATCATTATTTGCTTTGGCCTCTGGAGCAGATTAATAAAAAGCCTGACAGCACAATACAGAATGAACATAGTTCGAAACTGTTTCAATACATTAATTTACAAAATACAGCTTTGAAACATATTCATACATAAAACCACAGACTTTCAATATGTTACACAATAGGACTGCTTGAAAATGCTGAACACAGAATTCCTAGTATTAGACTAACAACACACTGCAACATCACTAAATATTAAGGTGCTGAATTTCCTTCCATTTATTTCAACTATCATTCAAAGTGCTACTGTTTCTTCTCACCATGCAAGATGTTCCTCCTATTCTTCATCATTATTTCCTGTTGCCTCTGGAACAGATTAATAAAAACCAGACATATTTTATATGTGTATATTTATGAAGTCAAATATCAAATGCTAAAGTATCTGATAGTGATTATTTTAAAAATTCATAAAATTAAGGAAGTTTGTGTAATATAAATGTTCATGTTATTAAATGTACAATTTATGGGAACAATTTTTTGTAACAGAAGCTGCCAAATAAAAATTGAACGTTACTAAGTCACAACTGCAAATACAATTGAAAAGGTATTGTTCAGAAGAGATTCATTGGGTAGTTACATGGTATTTCATGATGTACCTTTAAAAACCAAAATTATATAAACTGTGTAATAATTTGCCAATATTTAAGTATCATATTTACCCCTCTACAACACCAAGTTTCTTTTGGTATTTTCAACAAAAGACGGAGGTTATCTTACATACACAAATTAAGAACAGTGAATAACAGAACAACCATTTATATAGCTCTGTATTTTTAAAATGTTAAATTATAGTTGGGGTCTCTGTTTATGAAGCATATTTTGTAGCAATGCAACATAATAACATCAGACACGATTTTCTATTTCCAATATCTCTGTTTCTGTTCAGTCATACAGGAAGATACTTAAAGTTAAATCCGACTGTTATATCAATATTCATTGGTGTCAATGTATGACACAGTTGCCAAATGTCACATAGTCATTGATCTGTTGTGTTCAGAATTTATTTAAATTATGATATTAATACTAAAATTAAACATTTAAACATATTTGACTTTATTAGGTCTCTTTAAGTGTTTGCAGTAATTGTGCCTATTAAACTAAAGTTTAATAAATAATCATCAATCATGAAAGACCATATGACAATTGAATAGACTTGCAAAACGCCAATTCTCTAAATCTTGTGAACTGCATATGATGCCAATTTTAAATTAATGTTTATCAGGGAGGCTAAAAGGACTAATAATATAGACTACTGAGGATATACAATATTTTTCAGGCCAATCTGCAGAAATATGAGTACAAAAGACAACTACTAAGTTTATGTTCCACCAGAATAATATTGTGTAGAAATAAAACTGCTCTATTTTACTCTATAACAAAATGAAATAAAGGGAAAATGCTCCTAAGAGTTTTATCAAATAAATAATATAATTATTTTCACACAAAAGTTATTACTGGGATAGGAGAGCATTTTTTACCATAGGATATTTTAGTGTTATAAATTTTGTAATATCCTGATATTTGCCTCAAATTATAAAAAGAAACAGCTTCCACAATCACACAGAATATACATTTTTTGAAAGAATTTCTACTAAATAAAAATAATAAATTTTAGAAAGAATTTACACTAAATATATGACCCACTTCTCATAAAATGTTACTCTTGAACTATAAATGTCAGATAATGTTATACATTTTATCATAAATGAATACAATGACAAACCTGCTAGCTCCCGTTGTTTCCTTTTGTACCTATCAATGTTATGTTTTAATGACATATTTATTGAAGATTCACATTCCTTTGTAATCCCAGTCATTCGATGATCTAGTTTCAAGAGAGTTGTATTATCTTTTATACCCAGGGAAAGGGCTTCACCTCCAACCTAAACATACAAAGGAAGATACAAATGATTACAACAGCTCAACTCCCTATACCCATGATACTTAAATGTCAGCAGTATCAGAATCCAGTTTTCTTACCTCCCTCTAGTCTCTATCCATAAAAAAATTGCCACTCAGCCCGAAATGAGAGAATAAATTTGTCACTAATTGTCAGAGTTCAACCGTAAGGTTCAAAAACTGAATATGTCATAAAATGATTATGCAATATGGTGATACAATAATTCAAATTAATTTGGAAGAAATAACTTTACCAATGAAGATGTCCGTCTTCTGGGTTATTGCCAATATTTATCATAGGTTTGTATTCGTTCTGTAACAGGTAACCAACCAAGTCTGACTTCACTCTTTAACTATCCCACAATTAGAAATTACCTACTCACTGTAATCAAAGTGACTTAAAATCTATCATTCCAAATAAGGCCCAACAGATGTATGGGGAAAGATACCAACCTTAATTCCAGCCTCACATTTTGTGATTCACCCCAATTTAAGAAACAAGAATTTAACAACTTAGTCATTGTGGTATTACCATCACATCTATAGTGTATGAAATACCACAGTCTAAATCCACAAGACAGACATGGTAAAATAGCCATTACACGTGTAATATAGGATTGCAACTATGTAATCCAGACATCAAATCATCATGATAAAACTTTATATGTGTGGTGAATGAAATTTCAGTACATAACCCTAGAAACCCAAGTCATAGTGATACAACCCCTATGTATGTAATGAAGGAAATGCCAGTGCCTAAATCCAGAATACTGACAAAATATAAGATACCGTATATAATGGAGGAAATGCCAGTGCCTAATTCCAGAATACTGACAAAATATAAGATACCACCTTTGTTTTAACTATATCGCACACATATAGTTTCTTATAAAAATCTGCAGCACACCTGAAACCTTGTGGCAGAACACCAGTGTGCCATGGCACAATGGTCATAGAACACTGGCATACGGTAACAACAAAATGCTTCTAACATGTTTAGATTGGTTTAATTTCCAGTTCAGTTCAAGTCAATATTTCTAATTGGACTCTCTAATGAGCATACACTTGTATATTACCACAGAAAATAACTGTTATTGATCACAGTTTCCCTATACTGTCAATACAACATATGAACATACCTCCCCTAAGTAATTGTTGCTAACATCCAGTGCCTGAAGGCTGGTATTCTGTTGCAACATATGACCAATCTTGATAGCTGCCTGTTCTGTAAACCCACAACTGACCAGGATCAGTGCTTGTAAATGTTCACTGTTTGTCAGGACAGAACACAGGTCTGTCACCCCCTGGTTACCAATGACATTTAATCGAAGATCCAGCAATTTCAGTGGTGAACTTCTATGTGTTAGTGCAGAGGCTAGACCACTGGCTCCAGCAGCACCTTATAACACACGAGGACTTAAGACCTGTACTTACACAAGCACATAGAAGGCAATGAGACAGGCAAATGTATACATAAAATCACATCAGTGGCAGCTTGTGAGTCTCTACAGAGGTGTGGTCAGAGGCACTGGACGTACAAGTACACTGGGACAGGTTCTCATTTATTCAAGTTTAACATATTTTCTCATTTGCATTGAATCAAATTTCTGTCATTGAATCTTACCTATTTTATTGTTGCATAAGACCAGTTCCTTTAATGTTGGCTGGAAAATTAACAGTTTTCCTATAGCCAGAGCACCATTATCACCAATATTGCAATGTGAGAAATCCACCCTTGTAATGGTTGTGTTCTTTACCATATGCTGCAACAGAATGGTAACCAAGGTGTCATCCAATGTACTCCGATGGATTCTGGAATGATAATAATTATTAAATTATTTTAAAACTTTAATCAATTATTTTCTTGATAATTTGTTTGTAGTAAATTTATAATTGTACATTCTTTAATTTGTAAAGTTCTATGTAACCAGTGTAAATGCAGATAAGCAAAATTAATATAATATTGGAAAGATGTAACCTTCAGTGTATAATAAAATTCCACATTACAGGTAATAATACTTTTAATATATAGTATAATTAGTGTATGTGCCTTAAAAGTAACACCATGTTTCAGGGTTATTGTTGTCCATGGCGTAGATCATAATGAAATAAGCTGTCATTTAGCAAAAATTATATTTCCTTCTTTTACTTCAGAACCAATGACAGTGAAGATAGTAACTATTCAGTAATTTTCAGAAAATTGAAGAAGATAACATGACAATTATAATTCCTGAGACAGTGTCAATTATGTTTTTGTAATGCTACCAAAATAAATCATATTCTGCTGTTCATGAAGATTTATGAATGCATATCTTGACAAGAAGTACTGAATAAGATAACATTATACTGACTGGTAAGAATATTTCAGGACACAGAAGTATTCATCTGTGACAAGTAATAACTGAACAACAAAACAGATGAAATTATGGTTGTACCAATTTCAAGCAGTGCATCAGCTGCAGCAATGGTTAATGGCAGCAATTATTCATTATTGCCATTCATTTTTCTGTTCTGTGCATGAAGGGGTTTGTATGTAGTAGATAGTGTTGCATTTTAAATAGAATATCATTTATAACAAATCAAACTTTGAAACATTTAATTCCAAAACTTTGAAAGACATTTGTAATTAAAATATCCATGCCATGGAATGTAAAAACAGTAAAGAGTAAAAGTAAAGTTTGTCCCACTATACGCCATGTGGTAAAAACAGTAACTATGCTAAATATGTAAAAGTGTTACAGGAAATTACCAGCAATTAAATTAAAAGGTTAAAGATTCTCCAGAATTTGGCATGCAAATGAGAAATGTATATTTTGATAAGGGCTGAAAGCTGTTTCATGTGTAAAGACTTAGATGATATCTTAATATTTTTCAATGTACACATTAACCAGTTTGAATATTACTTTCACAGATTACTGTTCTGTTTTTACCTTAACGTCTTCATGCATTTTGCTGAATTCAATCCCATTCCAATATTTAAGCAGTCCATTGCTGAGAACTTAAATAAGATCCAAGCAAAGTTCATACCACATTGACGGACTCCAAACATGATGTGCAGTTCCTGCAAGTGTTAGAGCAGTACATTATTTTATAATTAATTATTAAAGCCCAGTTCTCTAATAAAATAAATCTGAATTCATGCACATATCATTCCGTTTGTTATCCTTCTCATATTCATTATAAAATCATATTTCAACCATCTTACAACCACACCTTTTCAAGTGTAACAAATAACGAGATGAAAGTTATTCTCCCAGTACTTATTTTTCAAAAATTTTCTTTTTAATTTCAATATACCAATCATTTTGATGCCCATTTATTGCAGATACAATCAAGTTCAGATAAAGATCCCCATCAGATCTAATACCACACTGTCATATATTCCACTGTCAACCAAATTGATCAGGAGCAAAGATAGTGATTATTACAGAGACAAAAAATAATTTTACTGTTCCACCAAATACATACTATATAGATACATCAAAAAATTGTAGATAGTAATGAAATCTAGATTTTGTGTAGCACATTAAAGACTTCAGTGGTTTTAACAAATTTTATAAAAGTTTAATTGGATCTTCATGTATAGCAGGAATAACTTTCAACTAACATGGACCAAAATTTATAATTTTAACACCTTTCAATTCACTCTGATTGTTGACAGAACTAATGAAGCTAATCAAAGTTAATCAAGAGCAAGAGGCATACAGAAGGAAAAACATCCTTGAATTTTATTAAATATGTAACATATTAAAAATGATTTTAAATAAAATTTATGGATTTTAATGATGTCTTCATTACCTTTGTTTGAGTGTGTGTGAGAGCGTAATGTTCACTTAATGTAGGACCCACTTGCCTAGGGGTAATATGCCTTGACTGTTCAGAACATACTCAGGTTTCTCTGTTTACCTTTAATTTCCCTCACTTTATAAATCAAATGCAGAAACACCCTACATATTAAGATGTCTGCCTTATGTCAGTCAGTCATCATCTTAACACAAGGTAAATTAAATCTCATTACATGAGCATTCGTACCTGAGAAGTACATTCCTTCACTCCTACCAGCTAGGTTGAGACTAGAGGGCAGTATAAACAACTGGTACCTTACCTCTTCACTTTTTATTATTAAAAGTTAACCATCCATCCAATGGCACTACAGCCCAAGTTCAGGCCTTGGCCTCATCCCATGTGGGAGGTTTCCTTGTCTTTGGAGAGTGCATTTGTGAGTAGTGAGTGACAAGCCCACTGCCTCTGCACAATTTCTACTCAATCCTGATTTGTCTGCTAAAGCCATCTAGCAGAGAATCAGAAGAGATTTGGGTGAGAAATGGCCGCTGAATTTTGCTTACGAAACATTTCGTTCATGCTCATAAGGTTCTTTTACGTGCTGTATATCTATGACATGGGACCGCCGGCTTTACTTCCCCTCCGAAGGAAGTTGTGCTACAGATTTTTATCACCCTTAAAAATCCATCGACCTCAGCCAGGTTTGAATCCACGAACCTTGGGTCCAGTGGCAAGCACACTAACCACTAGTCCACCAAGGGTTACAATTAAAAGTTAACAGTTATCCTAATATTATCCACTACCTTTGGAACTATCATAGAAAACATATGGCATATCACACAATAAAGAGCTTCACCATACCTCAAGACAAACCAGTCCCTTTATGAATGGTTCAAGGTTTATGTGGTCAACAGACACAATTTCAGTGGGCCACTCATAACCATTACTCCCTAAAAACGTGGGTGGTTGTGGGGCCTGTAACTGCAAAATGTTGAGTCGCTTCACATATGAGGAACACAAGTGTACCAGACTCTCTACTTCTGAATGCACAAAGTCCTCTGGAGCTAGATTTTCTATATATTCCTGCAAGTGTCGCTCCAGGTAAAGACGTTTCCAAGAACCTTCATAATCACGCACATCATTCAACTGGTAACAAAATACAGAGTGAAACAGATTAGGTTCAAATTCCAACTCATAAATGGACCCTCAAAATTAGTTTGTCAATAAAACTCAAATAATCAGGAAGTACTGCAAATGAATTATGTAAATCATATAATGACAATAAAAAATTTATTATGTGAAAACATAATTACCTTACACAAAAAAACATATTGGTATAGATTAGTATACAAAATGGTAAAGAAAGTGTATTGACAGCAGAGTCAAACCCCACTACATTTTTGCATATAAAATGCCATATGGTCTGTGAAATACCATAGTTGCAATTCATTACAATCTGATTAGATTAATAGACATACAATATTGTGACTATATAAGAGAGCATGCAGGTAACATCATGTTGAACTTCCTTCCATCAGTCTCTCAGTTGTCTTTCAGCAGTCTAAGTGCAAGGACGTCCTTTTTACAAGCACATCTAGTGTTCATTGTTCTTTCTTCATTTTACAGAATGAGTATAAGGATACATTTTCAAATTCTCCTGAGCCAAACAAATTAACAATATTTTGTCTGGTGAACCGTTTCCATGAAACAGGAAGCATGCAGGACAGAAACCATTCCAGTCAACCTTCAGTGTTAAGTGATTTTGTGTGTGTGTGTGTGTGCGCGCGGGCACGCGTGCACGTGATATGTTAAATTTTATATTAATATACATGGATATTTCCCAATACTTTGCCATTTTGTGTCTTCGCATTTTACAAAATGTTTGTACTCGCAAGATAATGTACTCACTCCCACAACACAAAAACTTACACTCTGCCATCGAATCTGGCTGCATCTTTTCCAGTAGATCCCATCTTCAAGCAGTGGCACTGTTATGATCAGCGGAAGGTCAATGGGGAGTGTTTCCAAAAGCAGACACCGATCCTCATCTGGCAGCAACTGAAGAGCCTGCTTGTCTGCACGGAATTAAATATACAGATAATATTGTTATCAGCTGGGAAGTGAGAACAGCAACAAGAATTTAAATCCTTGCCACTGCTAAAATTATTCTTCTCAAGTACATGGTTCATTGATTGTTTACATAATGATGCCACATATACATGTACTGTAAAGGTTATTTAATAATGAATAAGATGACAGGGTGATCACACACTGGAACTGGAAAGGATAATAGTAAATCAAAGGAAAATTGAAGAGTAACTTATAATTTGCTTGAGGGACTAAGAAAAATCATAATAATACATCAGTATGGGACAACTGGTACTTAATTAAGACTCAAAGCATATATATGTTGAATACAAGTCAGATGCTTTACATCCTGCACCAACTTGTTCAATATTTCAAGTTCGCTGGTTAAAATAAAGGTAATGGAACTTACTAGGATGCGTGGCATCCATTGCAAAACCACATTACAGGTGACAACTTTACAAAAAAGTAGCTAAATTTGGAGTTCCAAACTCAGTAATGTCATAGGTGCAGGTACACTGTGCCTGAAGGTAGGTGATGAAAGGGATATTAGAAATGGATACACATAGCAGAATGTAGTCCTTCTTTATAATGCATTTCCTACCCAAAATATGTCTGTTATATTTCAGCCACACTATATGGAAGTGTACAAGACATACATACATTACCTTTAAAGTTAGATACAAGACTCTGAACACACAGAGTAACCAGGGTTGAAGGAATATTTTTATCCCATGTGACATCTTCTGATCGAAGTGTGCGATTTACTTCTCCTTGGAGATTCTCTGTCGTATCAGAAGGATGATACACCTGATAGGTGTTGCATGGAATTGTGTGAGGGACACGCATATTTATTCAGTTATGAACAGTCAAACATGTGATTCTGAAAAGAACAGTAATGTCACATATTAGGCACTTGATCTTGATGCATTACCTCATTTTATGAAACTACACTATAATTTAACCACTCTTTGTATATACTGTGATACATATTAAGACAGTTATCAAAATACTAAAACCTAGGTTTGAAAACATATTTTACAAATTGAGGTATTAAATATGGAAATACTGCATACAAATATAGACAAATACTTTTCTTCTTTACAGAAAATTCTGTTACCAACACAATGTTTATAAATAATTGAATATCCACAATATATCCATTTTTCCATAAATAAATAAAAGAGTAAAATTCTAGTTAATGAGTTAGGTAGTGTTAGGATAGGTTGAGCTATGTTAGGTTACGGTTAGGTTAGGATTAGGTTAGGTTAGGTTAGGTTAGGGTTATGTTAATGTTAGGTCAGGGTTAGGTTAAAGTTAGATTAGGTTATGTTGGGTTAAGTTGTGTTAGGTTAGGTAGAGTTTCGTTAGGTTATGTAAGGGAGTTTGTGTTAAGTTGGATTAGTTTACATTAGTTTAGATTAGGTCAGATCTGTTCAGCATGGTAGATTACATTAGGTTGTGCCAGAGAGAGGTATTTAAAATTCCCAAGGTCATATATTTTGACACTAATTGCTGACAAACCGTAAATATTTGGTTAACAATACTCATGCCAAAATAAGATCATGAAATGTTCATGGTAATATTCAATTCACGAAAGGATCAGCCCTATAGTTTCCCACGTTCAGGTCTTCAAAATTCTCAAGGTCATATATCGTAACGAATATTTCTGCTAAGCCGAAGATACGTGGTTGACCATACTAATGCCAGAATGAGG